TTTTAAAAATAAAAACAACATGCAGAAAAACAGCCCTGGAGTCCCGTTGGCTTCCCTTAGCCAGCGTGGTCAGGGCATCATTTTGATGCTTTTGTGGAGAAGAATCCCGGGCCTGGATGGGGAAATAGGATGCATTTTGGTCTAGGGACTGTCTTTATTTGGGGGCAGAGGTGATGGCCTGTGTCTGGCCTCGCCATCCACGAGGCAGGCCCCTTTCCTCAAGCCGCCCACAAGTGGCTGGCTCGTGGATGCCTGCCACAGTGAAGGGGATTTGGGTTCCTCGGGGTTAGTTTTTAGCAGGCTCAGGCGGGGAGAGGGTGGCGGTGGGGACTCTCAGGTCTGTTTCCAGCTCTGTGGGCTGTATGGGGGCCCTGGGGCCATCCTGGAGATCCCCAGAGCTCTCCTCTGCAGCTTCCAGCCAGTTTTCTGGAACTAGCGGGAAAGGAGAGGGGCACCAAAGGTGTTTCTGGGCGTGCGATTGCTGCCACTTTGAGGTCGTGGCTTTGGTAGTGGGTTGAGTTGTGGCCCATGAAACGTAGGTCCACTTGGAAACCGTGAATATGACCTTGGCCTTATTTGGACCACAGGTCTTCGCAGATGTAACTAAGGTAAGGGTCTGGAGACGAGGTCATCCTGGAATAGGATGGGCCCTCAATCCAATGACAAGTGTTCTAAGAGAAGACACTCGGCGGAGAAGGCCACGTGAAGACGGAAGGAACACCAGGGGCCACTGGGAACTGGAAGACACAGAGAAGGCTCCCCCTGCAGAGTCTTTGGAGGGCGTGTGGCCCTGGTGACACCTTGAGCTTGGACTTCTGGCCTCCAGAACTGTGAGAGGATAGGCCGCTGGTTTCAGCCACCCAATTTGTAATAATTTGTTATAGCAGCCACAGGAAACGAATGCAGTTGTGAATTTTATTTTAGTCACTCATATATTTAAAAATTAAAATGTAAAATGTGACTTTGTCTTGTTCACTACCATATTTCCAGTGCTCAGCACATACAGTAGGGGCTCAGCAGATGCTTCTAGAATGCCTGATAGCTCCAGGCCTGGGTGAGGAACTCCTACCAGCTGGGAGTTGGATGCGGCTTTCAGGAAGTCGGTAAACTGGGCTGGCGTGGCGTGCATTCAACAACACCATCTTTTAATTAATTTATTTATTTGAGACGGAGCCTCGCTCTGTCGCCCAGGCTGGAGTGCAGTGGCATGATCTTGGCTCACTGCAGCCTCTGCCTCCCGATTCAAGCGATTCTCTTACCTCAGCCTCCTGAGTAGCTGGGATTAGGGGCATGCGCCACCACGCCTGACTGAATTTTGTATTTTTAGTAGAGAAGGGCTTTTGCCGTGTTAGCCAGGCTGGTCTTGAGCTTCTGGCCTCAAGCGATCCACAGCACCCGGCCTATTTATTTTTAATTGAGGTGAACTTCACATCACATATAATTTGCCATTTTAATGTGAACAGTTCATGAGTTTTTAGTGCAATCACAGTGTTGTACACCCACCCCCTCTATCCAGAAAATGTCCTCATCACCCCAAAAGGAAGTCTGTACCGGTGGGGTCACTCCACGTTGCCGCCTCCCCGCAGCCCCTGGCAGCCACCAGTCTGCCTTCTGCCTCTGTGGACTTACCTATTTTGGGTATTTCTCATGGACGGAATCATACACTGTGGGTTTTGGCTTCTTTCATTCCGCACAATGTGTTTGAGGTTGATCCGTGTTGAATGGTGTCAGTCCTTCATTCCTTTATATGGCGGAATTCCATTGTGTGGCATACATCAATAGAACCATTTGATATCTAGGTGGCTTTTCAGATGAGGAAACTGAGGCTGCCCAGGTCACGGAGCCCTGGTGCCCGGGATTGAGGAGGTGCAGATAGGCAGACGTGTCTGGCTCACGATGCTCTCTCTTTCTCCTGCCCCCACCCTGCTCCACTCGTATCTCTGTGCCTGGCCAGGAAGCAGCAGTGCGTGGGGAGGAAGCGAGTGGGGGGTCTCTTCCAGCTGGAGCTGGATGCTGAACTGTAGCTGCGGCTGTGGGTCTGAATCTGGCCCTCAGAGTTCTGGCCCCCACTTCCCCCCTGCGCCCTGCACATGTAGTTCCTGTTGACCTGGGTCCCGAGAGAGGCAGCAGGCAGGAGCTCCCCCGTTCGCCAGCCGAGCCTTCTGATGCCTCAAGAGGCTGGGGGCCTTGCCTGGGGCCACTCAGCTTAAGGTCCCCCTGCCCCTTTTCAGACCCCCTTTGGCCCACCGCCCCGGCCCCTGTGGCCTGCGTTGAATCATATTCTGGGGGGTCTTTACCGGTCTTTCCCACGGTCAAAGCTCTGCTCAGCAGACGGGCTCCAGGAAGTGGCCTGTCGGCAGATTTTGGCCAGGGGATGCTTTTTCAAAGTATGGAGGGGTGGTCGCCGTTGGAGGCTTGTGTGATAGGGAGTTCTCCTGCTGAGCAGATAACCAAACGCCGGCTTATTCTGAATACGAGCTTGGTTTTGGCCACAGGCTCTGTCTGGGGGTTGCTCCCTGTGGCTGTTTCTGGTGTTTGATGATTTGTGGTCTTCATTAAGTCACTCAACAAACGACTTGCTGCCCAGCATCTGACGGGGAAGACACAGGAAGCAGAACGAGTGGCCCTGAAGAGACACGGCCCAGTGTCAAACCTGCCCATAGCACACAGTCGCTCTGAGGGGGTGGGAGGAGTTACTGCAGATTCCAGGGCCAGCCTTTGGCAAAGGTCTGGATGCAGGTCTGTGTCCAAAACAAACAAAAACGAACAAAAGGAGGTGGTGAGGCCTGACTCGGCTGCTCTCAGGCACCACTTCCTGGTGGTGTTTGCATGGGGCCAGTTTGGCCGCTCCTGGGTTTCATGGTTCCGCCTGATCTCGGTGATGGTCTGGGTGGGAAGACGGTGCTGGATCTTTGGACTACAAATATGCCCATGCCTTCCTGTGCCTCAGTTTCCCTACCTATAAAAGAAGGCTTAAGAGTAGCAGAATCCCACCTTTGGCTTTGGGGCAGGTCTCTGGAAAACCCCCAGGGGTGTTTCCTGGGGAAGTCTGGAGGGCCAGCTGTTCACGGGAGACATCTGGCTTCCAGGGGCCTCCGCAGCCACCACGCTCATCCCCTCGTGGCCAGTCTGGGCCCCCCGTCGGTCCAGTGGCCACGGGCCCGTGTCACAGGCAAATCTGGTGCTAAAACCCTTCTGTGACTCCCTGTGGCTGAATTACCATGTGGATGACGGAGACAAGGCAGGCTTGCCCAGTTCAAGTCCCAGCTCAGCTACTAGCTGTTGACCTTGGGCAAGTCCCTTACCTTCTCTGGGCCTGCCTCCTGCTCCGTCTGTGTATGGCGGCTCAGGGGCATACCTGCCTTTGCCGCGGTGGTGTGAGGCCAGCTGGTGAACCAGGGGACCCGCTTAGCACAGTGCTGGGCACACAGTCAAAGCTGCTGGGCTCTGTGTGCGTGGCCACTGTTATTGTTATTAATATTATTACTCTCAAGATGCTCCTGAGAGTACAAAGGATGACAGTGTTATTGTTGGAGTCGAAGGCCAGGCCCAGAGTCCATCTGACCACTTCCGCTCCACTCCTATTAGCTCCCTGACCTCATCGTCATACTCTCCCCGCCTCGCCCCTGCACCCTGGCCATGCCAGCCTCTTCTCTGCTTTGACAACACACCGCGCGTGGTCCAGCCTCCAGACTTTCACATCTGCCATGCTCCTGCCAGGGGTGCCTTCCCCGTGTCTGCACCCCGGGACCCTTGTCATCATTTGGGCTGCTGTCCAGGGACACATTCTTAGGCCCAACTCTTGGCTGCTAGGGGCAGGGAAGTGAATCTGGAGACCCTCGTGGAGCCTCCTCTGCCTCCTGGGAGCTCCAGCAGCTTCCCCTGGCACCTCGTCTCTGCTTTCCAGAGCGCTTGGAGAAGCAGAGCTCAGCCTGCCCCTTCTACGGATGGAAAGTTGACACCCAGAGAAGCTCAGACTTGTCTCTGAGTCACACAGCTAATTGCAGCCAAGGTTCAGACTCCTGGCTGACTACCAAGCCATCGTTGTTGGCCTGTGTGTGTGTGTATTATTTGGCCATGTCTTCTTTTCTAGGCCTGTCACCGAGATGACCCTAGATCAGAATGCCAGTGTGAGGGGGTCAAGCTTTCTTTTCCTAGGATTAAAGGAAGGACAGAAATCTTTGCAAGGGAGAGCTTGCCCCTCTGGCCATCTGGCCCTCAGGACGGAGGACGGGGGAGGGAAGGGCCGAGGCCTGGGTTCCGAGCCGGTCCCGAGCCAGGCCTCAGCCAGGGCGCCAGAGCCGCGCGCAGGGTGGAGGTGCAGGTGCGGCCCGAGGCTGGACAGTCCAGGCTGGGAGGAAGCGGGTTAAAGGGGGAGAAGCGGGGCTGGAGCTCGCTTTCGCCTGCCAGCGAGCGAAGAGTGAAGAGGTTTTTCTAGCCGAGCTATAAAAAGGCCTCACAGTGTTTCAGCTCCCGAGTGTCGGCTGGAAGCCCGCCAGGGTTACCATGGCGATGAGGAATTATTACTTACTGCCAAGGCTGGGAGAAAAAGCTCGTACTTTTGGCTTCCAAACAAGAGGAGTGGACTTATGTAATTCTCTGTGTTTATAGGCCCGGAGTGGCAGAGGCGAGAACGGACCGCTGGAGGCCCGACGTCTCGTTCGCGTCCCAGCCGTGGGGTCAGGCGGCCCCGCTCTTGTCGCTAGTGGTCCTTGGCCTGCCCGGGTTTGGGGGGCATCGGGCTGGAAGCCTGGGGGGCCTGGCCTGGCCCCGCAGGGCCTCCCGGGCCGGGATGGGAGCTGTAGTCTCGCGGGAAGGTGAGGCCGCCCTCTGGGGCCGCCCCTCTGCGGGTGTCATCCTGGGGGAAGGATGGGTCTGATGTTGGCTGCGGTGTGCCTCCTGGAAGCCGGCAGCACAGCCTGTGTGTGTGGACTCCGCTGGCCCGCTGGCTGGCACTTTTTCTTTTTCTTTTTCTTTTTTTTTTCTTGTGGGAGAGTTACTTCAAGTTGTGTTTGGAGCTGACGTGAGCGAGGTTGGTCATGTGCTCGGGTAAGAGAAGTCGCCAGGCTTGGTGTGCGCAGGGGAGGCACAGTGTGGCCGGGTCACTCTGGCCGGGGGAGGTGGGCACAGACTGGGGTGGAGGGCTGTGGCCTGCAGGCTCTGTGCAGGGGGCGCTAGTTGGGGGCCGAGGAATTCATCTGGAAAGAGCCCCCGTTCTGTCGCTGGAGGTGGTGGCCAGGGCTGGGGGCCGAGTGGCTGCAGGTCAGCCAGCGGGGGCGGCCGGACCCTCCCCTGGCAGCACAGTGTTGTCGGCCCTGAGCTCAGCGGGATGGTGGGCAGGGCTGTCTTATCGGACAAAGTTGCTGCAGGCACAGAAAAGAGCGCTCCGAGGCGCTGGCCCGGCCGGCTGGGGAGAGGCTTCTTGGCCAGCCCGCGTGGGAGGGGACCTGGGGGGGCACCAGGCTCCTCTCCCGGAGCCTCGGTGCACATCCGGCGTCCCTGCTGGGGAGCATGGCGAGCCTTGGGGACTCAGGGGGCTTCTGTTCCGGAGTTGACTTCAGGAGGGTGTGTGATGGTGGGTGCTCCCGAGGCTCTGCCCTAGGGCGCCGGGGTGGGCTCAGGCAGGGGAGAGCCAGGTGCAGGCAGCGCTGCAGCCCGGCCCCGGCGCCCGGCTCCCCACCGAGGTGGCGCTTGGCTCGGTGCCCGTGTCTGGTTTGAAATCAGCGCCACCGGCCCAGGCTTGCCCAGGGACTTGGCAGTGAGCAGCCGGGATAAACACTGGAAAGTTGGAAGGGCTTCCCGAGCTCACAAGGAGCCTTTAGTTGCAAGCTGGGGGAATGAGGGAGCGATTTGTCCCGAGGTCTGGGTGCGCTGCGGCCGCAGGGAGGTGGCGGGAATGGCTCCTGGGGACCTCCGAGCCCAGGCTGGGGAGGGGAGAGGGCTGGGCTTCCAGGCAGTGTTGCTCCTTTGCCACAGACCTGGGTTTGAGTCCTGGTTCCGTCCTTTCTGTGCTGTGTGACCTTGGGCATGTCGCCTCCCCTTTGCAGACCTCAATTTCCTCGTCTGTAAAATGGGACAACAGTGGGGTCTACACAAGCATGAGACTGACGGGAGAAGGAGCTGCAGTTTTGGGGGAAACCCGGTGCAGACTGCCTGGGTTCCTGTCCTGGTTGGATGCTTCCTGGCTGTGTGACCTTGGGCAAGTAACTTACTGTCTCTGAGCCTCAGTTTTCCCATCTGGCAAATGGATGTTGCATCTTTCCCCACCTCATAGGCTGTATGGCTTAAGGGAGTGAATGAAACCTGCCTTCTGGTTCATAATAGGCTCACAGTCGATAATTCACTGGTGCTGAAGTTGTTTTCTCGATGCTAACAATACACGCACCTGGTCTGGGGGCGGGGGCGGCCCTGGGATTTCGGCATCTCAGGGCGATGGTGTTTATGAAGTTGTAGTGGCCGGATTGAGGTTCCAGTGCCAGCTCGACCCCTCAAGGATGGTGTGACCTTGGGCAAGTCCTGGAATCCCACCGAGCCTCAGTTTCCTTGTCCCTTACCACAGTGGTAGCACTGCAGCCTGCCGGTATGTCTTGGGAGAGCCCGAGAGAAGCCTGAAGGGGTCTGCGCAGTGCTGGCGTGGGTGGGCCTCCGTAATTGTAACCACAAGGTTGGATTTACGTTCGAGTTCCGTCCAGTTTTCTTTTGTTCTCTGCAGAGAGCTCTCCTGTTTTATAGAAACCCGGGCCCAGATAAGGGGAGGTAGGCCGGGTGGGTGCTTCCCAGGCTCTGCCTTTGTTTGGGGTCCCCAGGTCTCCCCCCATGCCTGCCTGTTCTGCCCCATCTCCCACTCAGCCTGAGCCCCTCCGTGCCAGCCCTGGGCCAGGCAACCCCCACGGTGGTATGGCCTGGGGCTGGGGCGGGAGGGTAGTTCTCCTGCGGAAGGTGGCAGCCGTCCTGTGTTTGTAAGTGACACCGGATGCTGGGCCAGTGACTGGCTCAGGGCCTCCGCTCTTGGGCCAGCAGGAGCCAGCGGGAGTTCCCCAGGTGTCCAGGCCCCCCGTGCCAGCTGCCTGTTGTCTCATTGTCGTGGAGCCTCTCCTGGGACCTCAAGAGTGGCCTCTGAAGGGAGGGGTGGTCATACGTGTCCCCTTGTCACCCCCAAGGCCTTGGTGTCCACTTGGGTTGGCCACAGAGCTGTGTTGTGGCTGCCCCTGACCTTTGCCAGAGTCCTCAGGGACTCGATTTTCCTACCCAGTGGAGAAGAGTCCTGGGTAAGGAAGGTTCAGAACAGAAGTCAGCACAGGGCCTTTGTGACGAGGCAGCTCGGCATGGACCGGTTGTGATCACTGGAGTCTGCACGTGTGATAAGAACACATAGAACTAAATACATGCACACTCACACTCACATGCACACACACATGCACATACCCACACGTATACTCACACGCACACTCGCGAACATGCACACCATACACACACAGTCACACGAACATGTGCACGCATACACACACGCTCGCGAACATGCACACACATACTCACATGCACACTCACAGTCATACGCACACTCACACTCGCACACACACACCCATACTCTCATGCAGACACCCACACAGATACACGCGCACATGCACACGCACACACACAAGTGAGTGCATTGGACACTGCTGCGGATCTGCATATGGCTGGCTGTATCCATGCTGCCTTCCCGGTTATGATACAGATGATGAATTGTCGTTGTCTCAGGATGTTATTCTTGGGGGAGGCTGGGTGAAGGGCACACAGGATCCTGGGATCTTGAGATTCTTTTTTTTTTCTCCTTTTTTGAAACTGAGTCTCACTCCATCACCCAGGCTGGAGTGCAGTGCAGTGGCGCGATCTCAGCTCACTGCAACCTCTGCCTCCTGGGTTCAAGCGATTCTCCTGTCACAGCCTCCCAAGTTGCTGGGACTATAGGCACATGCCACCAAGCCCAGCTAATGTTTGTATTTTTGGTAGAGGACTCCCCCATGAAGCTGGCCTGTAACTGAGCTTGGTCCCTTGGACATCCCAGGGGGTCCAGGCGGGGTTTGCTTTGTGCCTGAGGATCACAGAGGGCTCCAGAGCATCCCAGGCTGGGGGACAGGTGGTGCCTGCAGGGCCTGTGGGGGCCCCATGACTGAACTGCTGTAAGGGTGTTCCTGTCATCACAGTGGCGTGGTAGAGGCTTGTGTCCCGTGGGCATCAGTCATAGCTTAGGGTCTGGAGGGACAGGGGTGGAATAGGGTGTGGGGGCATCTAGCCTCATGAGCCTCTTTACTGTTCTTTGGGGCCCCTGATCATGAGCCTGCCTCAGGACCTTTGCACTGACTATAACCTCTTTTTTTTGAGACAAAGTCTTACTCTTTCCCCCAGGCTGGACTGCAGAGCTGTGGCCACCTTTCTTTCAGGTTCAAGTGATTCTCCTGCCTCAGCCTCCCGAGTAGCTGGGACTACAGGCGTGCACCACCATGCCTAATTTTTGTATTTTGGGTAGAGACAGGGTTTTGCCATGTTGGCCAGGCTGGTCTTGGACTCCTGACCTCAAGTGATCCACCCACCTCGGCCTCCCAAAGTGCAGGGATTACAGGCCTGCGCCACCACACCCAGCCTGGCTGTAACCTCTTCTGGGAACACCCTTTCCTGAGACCTTCAGCCTCCCTGATTTAGGCCTCTGCTAATGGTGCCTCCTGAGAGAGGCCTGATGTCAGGTTGTGACTCCCTGTGACACCTTCACTGCTCCGTGTAACACCGTCGCCACCGGGTTCTGCTGTCTGCCCGTCACCCCGTCCCCACCTTATTTTAGTCTATTTGGACCGGGTGGCTCACAAGCAAGAGAACTTTACTGCTCACAGTTTTGGAGGCTGGACGCCCGAGACCCAGAGGCTGGGGGATTTGGTGTCACATGGGAGGAGGGCCCGTTCCCTGGTTCATAGGTGGTGGCTTCTCCCAGGCAGAGGGCACGGTGGCTTTCTGGGGGCACCAATCCCACTCGTGACAGCTCGTCACCTCCCAGAGGCCCCGTGCTCTGACACTGTCCCATGATGATTAGGTCTCAACATACAGATTTTGGGGGGATATAGACATTCACACTCCAGCACCCCTCCATCCAGGATTTTGTTCACCTTGGTCACTGCTGTGTCCCCAGCACTGGGTATGTAGCAGGCACTTAGGAGACAGTTGTGCCTGACTCAGTGTCCCCCACGGGGCCTCAGCCTGTCCCCTCCCCATAAATGGGGCCTCTCTGGGGAAGGAGGCCCTGCATTTTGGGGACGATTTGGAAAACCGGGAAAAGTTCTCACGCTTTTTCTCTGACTGCCCCTGGGGTACCCACCAAGCATCCCAAGAGAGCCTACCCCTCCTAGATACGGCCATGAGAAGGAACCCAGGGGTGCCGTAGGCACGGGGAGTGGGGGAGGGGTGCCGACAGCCTCAGCCTTGTGTGCTGAGGACCAAGGCGAGGTGAGCATTCCACATACCTTAGTTCACTGTGTCCTTCCCATAGCCTTGTAAAGTGGGCAGAGTCACCCTCTCCTGATAAGGCACAGAGAGGGTAGGTAGCTTGCTCAAAGACACACAGCTGCAGACCTGCAGTATTACCAAGTGAATGGCATTTCCAAGGCAGTTGCTTCTTTGCTCAGGGTCATGCTTAGCATGCTAAGGGGATCCCCGTCTCTCATCTCCAGAAGTCCCTCATACTATTCCTGTCTTCCGAGGCGGTCCTGCTTTCTGGGTATCTGGCTCAGAACTGGGAGGGTCCCATTTCCCAGGCTGAGAGAATGCCTCATTTAGCCCAGAGCGGAGGCCCAGAGATGCCCACACTTCTGAAGGTTGGGGGGTTGGTTTCCAGTGTGGCTTAGAAGTTAGAGGGCAGGAGGGGCACCCCAGAGTGGAGGAACCGCCCCCTTCCTCCGGAGTCGTTCATTTGCATGACAATGAGCCCTTTGTTCCTGGGGCCAGCCTCCTTCCCAGAGCAGTAACATCATTCCTGGCCTGTGATGTCATAATGGGCCCTTTCTGTGGCTGGGGTCAGAGGC